AGTGTTTGGTTTTGAAGCTGCCACCCTGCATTAGCCATGCATGCCCCAGTGGCCTGGCGAGCTCACCCTGGGAGCAGCAGTGATCCCAGCTGAGCCTTGCTGGGTATGGAGCCAACGTCCTGTGGAGCCTCTGGCAAGGAGCTGTGGGGCCTCTTGGGTCACAGAGGAACCAGGGAGGAACCAAGCAAGGGGCTCCCAATCTCTCCTCAGACTTCTTATCATCCCCACCTCAGGAAAAACAATGGCAGGCTCATAGTCTGCATATTAAGTGAGAATTATTTGCCTGTCCTATAGTCATGCAAGACACTCAATTTAGCTCTCACCTGCTGGTGGCCTCCACCCCATGCCCAGCACTTGAGCTCATCTAATCTTCACAGCATCACAGTTCCACAGAGGAGCATCCCAGAGGTTAAAGACCTGCCCAAGGTCACACAGCCACTAAGAACTATGACCTTAATCAGATCTGCTCACAATAACCAGGCCAGCTACAGTCAGCTGAGATCACTCAAGGCCGAGGCAAAGAAGTTTGTGTTTTGGGTTTTTTTTAACTCCATGGTTTACAAAATTGGCTGACTCTAGGAATCACCTAGGGAGCTTTAAAAAATCCCCAAGGCCAAGCAGTGTCCCAAAGCCAATTAAATCAGAATCCCTGTGGTGGGACTCAGGACTTGGAATTTTTGAAACTTCCTATGGTGATGCTAATATTCAGCCAAGTTGAGATCCACCGATTTAACCAGTGCGGTTTCTGAGGGTGAAAAGGCTCCCTCTAGGACTAGGAATGGGATTTGTTAATAGTGATTGTTAATAGCAGCTGACAGGGTGGTCACACTGCCATTCCAGGGACATCATTCCCAATTTAATCTATGAGAGTTGAGGACTTGGTGTTGTGATGTGCACAACCAGCCTGCTGTATGTGGCAGCTCCAGTAGCCAGCGCCAAGCACTCAGCTCTGTACTAGGCATTGGCCAAGCACCTTGCAAGTATCACCTCGTTTATGATGCCACAACTTCATAGAGGAAGATTCTACAGTAATGCCCATTTTGCAGAGGAGGAAACACCAGCTCAAAAGCAGCTGTCCCATCTCAACTCTGCTGTTCACTGGGAAACCGCCATAGAGAATAAGTGGGCATGGTGTGTCTCAGGGCTGTGGGATTTGGTCTAAAGGCTGTAGTTTCCAGGCTCCAGCTCCAGAGGGTAGGGAGGCAGGGACAGAGCTGACATTCAAATCCAGGTCTGAATGGCTCCAGCCTCCTTATCCGTCTGCCTCCTCCTGCATTTCTTTAATAGCCATGAAGAATACGAACAAGCCACTTACCTTTCTCCTTCCTGATTGGCCTGCTCCCCCATTCCCTGCCAGCTCTTTTCCTGGGTATTCACTTTTTCTTTCCAGAGAGGATCTGTCTCATGCCCACTTTCCCTCTTAGCCCTCCATGGCCACTCCCCTGATGGAGCCCAGAGTCTTGGATCTCTTGGGATGCCCAGCAGCCTTGGGAACAACCCCAGTCCTCTGCCTTAGGAGGCCCAGCTGACCGCCCTAAAAAACCGAAGTCACACCTGCCCTTTGTTGAGTAATCTCTTTTATAACAGAACCTGTGTGGAATTCTTCTCCCAGAGGCCTCAGTTGAATAAACTAACAGGAATGCTGGCTCAGCTTTCTAAGTCTTGGGGGGCCCCAGAAGCCCTCCCCACCCACCCCCATAGGTGTATACATGGATCTCACAGGGGTTGTTTGCTGGAGCTCAGCACCCCGAGTGGCAAAGGCAATGGTTTTTCTCCTGAAGCTCTGAGCTAAGGCACCAGCCACATCCTTCAGGGTTTGTGCCTCACCCACCACACCAGCCTGGCCTCAGGGAAACACTATCATCCACAGCTCACCGCTAATTTAATTAATTTTTTTACAAAGGCCTAGAGCAAACCATTGAGCCAGAGCTGGCATAAGATGGGACTTGGGGTGCAGAACTGGCTTCATAATTGACAGGGACCAGTGCAAGATAAAAAAGGAGGGTCACTTGTTCAAATTGCATTTGGAATTTCAAGACAGTGACAAGTCATACCAAACAGGTCCCCTCTTTCAAGGATGACCCTATACGACTGAGCCCCACTGCCTGGCCCTGGGGCAGCCAACCCACTGGATGGCTAGCAACGGAGGTATGGGGTGAAGGGCTCAGCCAGGCCAATCAGAGATTTTTTCCCTGGAATTTAACAGGAGAGAGAGACAGAGACCACCCACTGGAAGTGAAGGAAACCGAAGTCATAAAACATCCCAAGGCCTCTGACAGTTTCCTCACACAGCAGCCAGAATGACCTTTTTAAAAGTGAATCAGGCTCGCCTTTCCCCAACTTGAACCCACCCGTCCACCCTCACTCCAGACGCCTCCCTGTCACTCAGCTCACAGCACTCCAGCACACTGTGTCTTTTTGTTCCCCGAATAGACCCAGCTTGTTCAAGGTACATGAGTCACACATGCTATTCCCTAGGCTCCAAATGGCCTCCCTCCTCATCTTAACTGTCAGATTGTCACGTCACCTCCTCAGAGAGGCCCTCCCCGCATCTGGATGACAGCGGGTCCCTCCTTAGTCACTATGGGAGCCTGGAGCCATTTGTGGTCTTCTGTTTTCACTGGCTTGCGAGTGTGCTGACTGTCGGCCTCCCTAGCAGAGTGTGGGTTCTGTGAGCACCAGGACCTCGCTAGTTCAGTTCTTCTCTGTGTGTCCAGTGTCTGCCACAGTGCCAGGAAAATCACAGGAATGCGAACTCTTGTGGATTTTTTATTAAGTTATGCACTTTCTCAGTGGTCATTCCCATTACACAGGACCTCTTGATGTTGTGTACTTAATTTGTATCTGGCCACAATTGTCGAACACACTCAATTCCAAATGCTTTTCTGTTCATCCTTTTGGGAATTCTTGGTATATCGCTATTTCCATGCAAATATTAACGCTGCCTTCTACTTTTCTAAAGTTATCCAACTTATTCTATTTCCTGTCTTATCGCTTTGGCAAGAGACAGTGAGTTCTTTTAAGGATGGTGTGGCTGATGAAAAGTGAGCAGCTCTGGAAGATTTAGGGGGCACAGAGGGACTAAGAGCAGGTGAATAGCCAGGGAGCCAAAGTAGTTATTAAAGTGCGGCATGAGCTGAATAGGAGAGCTGAGGTCACAGGAAGGAAAAAGCGTAGCTGAGAATTACTCAGTCGAAGGATGGGCAACACTTGACAGCAGGAATAGGCAGCAAAAGAGGGAAGATCCCAAAGCTCCAATCTGAATCCAGGCATCCTAATGCACTGGCACCCAGACAGCTTGATCCCACGGACAAGAAAATATCAAGTGCTCATTTTAAAGTAACTCCAAATACTGTTATGATCACTTTTTTAAGGACCAAAAAATTAGGAAGGATATAACCTGAAAGCAAACAGCCGTATGAAAAAGATGAGAAAAAGTTAATTAGAATTCTCATTTTAGAAATGGTACTGAGAACGTGAATTAACATGTCTGTGCTCTGACACCTCATCTGGCTACATCCAAAATACCTTCTAATAATCACCTCTTTCTCCAGGTTACATACGTGGTCTTACTTGCTCCTCCTGACTGCAGCCTGCCAGGGGTCATCATAGAAAAGCCAAACACGGGTCTGGTGGCCACTGTTGCAAAGTACAATCTCCCGTTTGATGTCTACATTCCCAACCTGTCACCTTGCAAAGTGCACCCCGCCAAACCCCTCCTTTGTGTTTCCCGACCCCAACAAGCTGTTTGCCGCTTCCACGTTTTCACACATCCCGTTCATCCACAAAACTGCGTTTGGGCAGGGAATGGTTCTCACCCCCTTCCTAGTGTGGGGACGGAAATGAGTCTGTCCACAGGCAACATGGTGGCCCTCAAGAGGGGGCTGACGCCTGGTGTTCCAAGTGGGGACACACGTTCCCAGTGGTCACATGAAAACCACATGCCACAGGGCACTGGTTCCCCAAGACCAAAGAACACTTCGAAAGTTGTATTGAAGAAAACTGTGTGAAAGTTGTGTGAAGAAAATTACCAACAAATGTGTATTGATCACCTACTGCACTCCAGACCAGACACTGCCAACTGTCAGGAACTGGCATATGATAGGAGCTCGAGCTCTGCAAAGTCAGACTCATGAAGAGGGCAGAGCTAATGTCTACATTTTCACTAAAACCACTATAAGCAGCTCATGGCCAGGCAGCGTCTATACCCTTGAGGCCTTTTTTTTTAATCAGTCTCTTTCTCTCTCTGTGTCTGTCTGTCTCTCTCTGTACTTGCACTTGGGAATTTCAAGGATAAGGAGCCAGTTTGCAGAAGAGGGAGCCCTTGTGCCTAAATTTTAAGTAGATGGACAGAGTTGAAACTGCTGTGGTAGAAGTGGGGCCATTGAGTGGCCAGACGTTTGACAACTATGCCTTTGCTATTAGGAACAGCAGTCTCTGAATTTCATCCTCTCCTCTTTGATGTGAAGAAAATGAAAAGCTGAACAGTTCCGCAAGAGAATTTGGAACTGTGCTAGAGAGTTAGACAATAAAGGGTAATACTTTCTTTTTATCACTGCATTCATCCAAATTGTTTTTAACAAGTACATATAAGTCTTTTTAAATATATTTTTCCTTTTCTGTTAAAGCTCATTGAAAAACAGAAACTCAAACATAATTCCATGTATAGTGGGGGAAAACCGTGGTTTGCAAAGTCAGGCCAAAAGTTTGTGTGTGTCAGCCCGTACCTTGAGGCCCATTATCACTTGACATCCACACTCCAGACACATCGCAAACAGCATCTCCGGTTCTGACAGCCCGGGGCATGCATTCCGTCATGGTTTTCGTTTTTATAAGTGAAAAAACTAAGGCTCAGAAATTCAGGTAGCTTGCCCAGGTATACGCAGTAGCAGGTGGCCAAGGTCCATCTGACATGAAAACCTTGCCCTTCAACTGTGCCCCAGGGGGCAGGGTGGGATGAGAGGCTCAGCTCTGAGCAACTCCTCTATCCATCTCTACAGCCTCCATGTACTCGGAGATTCAGAGGGAGCGGGCAGACATCGGGGGACTGATGGCCCGGCCGGAATACAGAGAGTGGAATCCAGAGCTCATCAAGCCCAAGAAGCTGCTGAACCCCGTGAAGGCCTCTCGGAGTCACCAGGAGCTGCACCGGGAGCTGCTCATGAACCACAGAAGGTGGGGATGAGGCCCTGTGGCCCTGGCACGGCAAGCACCGGGTCCTGTGGGACTTGGGGAGGTGCCCCTGGAGGAAAGCAGGGCTGGATCTCATCCTGGGGCTTCTGGAGACTGAGGAGGGCTGAATGTGCCCCACATGATCACCAGCAAAACCTGAAATGGCCCCATCCCCAGCAGGCCCCTGGGAACCAGAGGGACCCAAAAAGCCCTGTTCTTTCGCCCAGCCACCCGTTTTACACCCAAACTCCAGATACATTTATTGAGTACATACTATGTGTTGGGCGCTGAGTCCAGACCTGGGGGTGCAAGAATGAATGGGACCCAGTTCCTGTCCTAACAGACAGGGACAGGTACACAGCCAGGCAGTAGGATGGGTGCATTGGCCTGAGGCCCCAGAGGAGGAACCCGAGGGGTCTAAAATGACTTCACAGGAGCGGTGCTGCTTCAACTATGACCTGAAGGGGGATTGGAGTCAGCCAGGCCACGAGGTGGGTGTTGGGTGGCAGAGGGAACTGCATATGCAAATAAGTAGGAAACAGGAATTGCTCACTGTGCCTCGGGCATTGATTGTGCGGTGCCGGCCAGGGCAGAGGATGGACTGAGGAAGGGTCTACAGCAGGGGCACAGGTCTGATCGAGCTTCAGAAGGGCCCTCCTGGTGAGGTGTGGGGATGGGGGAGCTCACAATACCGAAGGGGGCCGAGGCCCAGGCTAGTGGCTGGCTCTTCCGTGGCAGGCCGTGGTGAGCATTGACAGAGACAGGCCAGAGGGGCACCTGGGAGGTGGCAGGGCTGGGGTGGGGCAATTGATGGGACGTGAATTGGAGGAGAGGAAGGCTGAGACCCCTACCTCCGGAGGACCGGGTAAAATACTCCTGCTCACCAGTAACAGCGTGAACGCAGCAGTGCTTTCAGAGCTCCCTCTGCTGGCCGTCTCTGGTATTAGAACCAGTTGTGATTGCGCTCTTGTTTTCCGCTATGACCGACAACCTCTCAGTTACTTTGTACACTGAGTGGCTTTTGGTTTTGTTTTCAATTAGTATTATAATATAAGCATTTTCTCTGAAGAGCTTTTAGGTTCATCCCTTTAATACCAAAAAACACCGCCACAATCAAAAATAGAAGCTTAAAGATAAACTAGAGAAAATATTTGCAATATAAATAAATTTTATTTTTAAAACTCGTATATACAAAAAAAAATGAATATATTCAGATCTCTTACAATCCACAAAGAAAGATGAATCAAAAGCAATACAGTACAGCCAGACGTGGTGGCTCACACCTGTAATCCCAACACTTTGGGAGGCCAAGGCAGGAGGATCACTTGATCCCGGGAGGTCGAGGCTGCAGTGAGCTATGACTGTGCCACTGCACTCCAGCCTGGGCAAGACAGCGAGTGCTTGTCTGTCAAAATAATAATAATAATACAGTTAATTCACAAAAGAAGAAATGCAAATGGCTGGTAAATGTATCAAATGTTGTCCCATGTGACTAATAAAGAAACATGAAAACCAGATATTATATCATGACTACCAGATTCTTGAATATAAAAAGATTGGCTGGTGACAGAGGGGAGAAACAGATCTCCTGTACACTGTTCACAGGAAGATACACTGGACAACATTTCTCAGGCACAGGTAGATCTATGTACCTAGAATTTTTTAAAGGAGCCTGGCCCAGCAATTCTACCTTTAGAAACGTAACCTGAGAAAATAACCAGAAATAATATAAAACCTGGTCTCTGCAGTCAGACAGGCCAGGGTTCAAATCCTCATTTGGCCCATCTGTAGCTGTGACTTGGACTAGTATCCTCAGCCCTAGAGGCCTCAGGTTTTGTCTCTGTAAAATGGGACAGTAATGGGTCCACCTCCAAGGCTACTGGGAGGATTGCACAAGGTAATAGTGGAGGGTGGTGTCACAGCAGGATGAAGCCCTGAGGCTGGGGAGGCAGGAAGGTGATGGTCTCCTGACGGCTCCTCCCTCCCCACCCCAGGGGCCTCGGCCTGGACAGCAAGCCGGAGCTACAGCGAGTCCTGGAGCACCGACGGCGGAACCAGCTCCTCAAGAAGAAGAAGGAGGAGCTGGAGGCCAAGCGACTGCAGTGCCCCCTTGAGCAGGAGCTGCTGAGACGGCAGCAGAGGCTGAACCAGGTGGGTCACAGGCAACCAGCGGGGGACCACGAATCCTCCAGGGTGATCCCCTGGCCCAGGAGGAGCTCTGCTGTGGCCACAGCCAGTGAGAGGGAAGAGGGTCAGCAGAGAACTGGACTATGAGTCCACCGCTGGCCTGAGCCCTCCCTCTGCCATTTGCTTTGATGGGTCCTTAGGGCAAGTGGCTTCCCCTCTCTGAACCTCAGCTTCCTCACTGGCCCAGTGTCCTGCATGCTGATTCTGATTTCATTCTTGTAACTGTCTGACGAGCCAGGTGTCATTCCCGCTTTAGAGATGGGGAACCTGAGGCCCAGAGGAGGTGAGCAATTAGAACCAGACTTCACAAGGAGAACACAGTCTCATGCTCTGTGCCCCAGGTACCAAGCTGGCAGCAAAGTCCATCCCCAGGCTGGTTCTGTTCCCCCACTGTGTGGGCCCTCAGTCCCAACTCCATGGGTTTTCAGAGTAGGAATCCCCATAGCCCCACTCACCTCACTCCTCTGCTTCTCCCTCCTTCAGCTGGAAAAACCACCGGAGAAGGAAGAAGATCACGCCCCTGAGTTTATTAAAGTCAGGGAAAACCTGCGGAGAATTGCCACACTGACCAGTGAAGAGAGAGCGCTGTAGGGACGGCTGCTGGGGCTCGGACCACCGTGCACCCCGGCCTAGACACCCTCCTCCAGCCCTTCTGCACCTGGCAGCCCTGGGCCCCAGGCCTTGGGACATCTGTGATGTTCCCACCTGCTTCTGTAGAAATGTGTCGCCCCAGAAGACCTGGCTCTCCCTGGGAGGCTGGGGGCCCTAAGTTACCAGGCTTTTTCTTCCAAGCACCCAAACCCTCCTGCTCCAAGAGGGAAACCTGCATGGGAGGTTTTTCTGGCAGAATTGAGGAGGAAGAGGCAGCCCTCTGGCTTGACAAGCCTTCTCTTCTGCCCAGGCCTTCCCACCAGGAATCTCCGAGGCTCCCCGGGGCCCCGCTTCTCCGCGCACCCCAGCTCCTAGGTCTCAGAGAACTCCCCCACCTGTAGTTTTACCTGCAGCCAGCAGAGCTTAGCTTCAAGGGCACCTGCCTCCAAAACCACTGAGGGGAGGAAGGGCAGGGCAGACGACAGGTTGCAGGCATCCCAGCCACATGGGAAGGGGCTAACACAGACAGCTGTTTAGGGTCTCCTCTCACCTTTGTGTTTATCATCCCCTCCGCACAGCGCCCAGTCCAGGCCTTCTAACCACACCTAGCCAGGGTGGCCGCCTTCCTACACCTAGAAGTCTGCTTCACAAACTTGATAGGGCACAAAAATCACTGGGGGATCTTGTTAAAATACAGCTTCTAATTCAGTAGGTCTGGGGTAGGGGCTGAGATCCTGCATTTCTAACAAGCTCCCCAGGTGAGGTGGAGGCTGCTGGTGTGAGGACCCTGCTGTGAGCTGCAGGGTCAGAGTGCCCAGGGCTGGTGTATATTAGAAATATAAGCCAGGCACGGTGGCTCACGCCTGTAATCCCAGCACTTTGGGAGGCTGAGGTGGGCGGATCACCTGAGGTCAGGAGTTTGAGATCAGCCTGGCCAAGATGGTGAAACCTTGTCTCTAATAAAAACGCAAAAAGTAGCCGGGTGTGGTGGTGGGTGCCTGTAATCCCAGCTCCTCTGGAGGCTGAGGCAGGAGAATTGCTTGAACCTGGGAGATGGAGGTTGCCGTGAGTCGAGACTGTGCCACTGTACTCCAGCCTGAGCAACAGAGTGAGACTCCATCTCAAAAACAGAAATAATATAAATAAATAAACATCACCCCTGATGCCATCACTGCCCCACACCTCCCATGGACTGATGCCCCAGGAATTCCCACCTCTCAAACACACCTGGCCCCACCTCACCTCTGTAACCCAGGGATTCTTCATTATCCACCCCACCCAGACTCCCACCGCCAGGGATTCCCCATGAAGACTTTGGCCTAGCAAATTGCGTTGGTTATGTAAGTGTTGTTTTAATCAGAGATGCACGTGATTGCCAATCTGCATTTCTTACCAGTGTGACCACACTGTTAGGATGCAATTCTAGCCAAAAAAGAAAAAGATTTTTTTTTAACTTTTTCCTGCAGTCTTATGGAAAGCAAATATACAATAATTTCCAATAGGCTTCTGGACTAGAAACAGTGGTTTAAAGACCCCACTGCTACCTTTATGGACTGGCCCCTTTGAGTCTCCCAACCCCTACCTGGGCCAACTCCAATGAAATCATCCATTTTTCTTCAGAAGGCCTTTCCTGTGTGAGACCCATGTATTTCAACCTTTTGTGTTATCCCATTTTTAAAGATTTAGGGCATGTTCCAGGCCTGTTTCTTTTCCCCTGAAATCCCTGCCTCTGGCTTCATAAACCCATCATCTGAGGTGACAGAGCAGTGCTGGAATCGCATCTCCTTTCACGCCCCAAAAACTGCCACAAAGAGCAGCCACTGGCATGTGCTTTGATTCCTGGGGGCAAACATGGGACTGGCTGGAGGAAAGGGATTGTCCTGGTCTTACTCAGAGCTGGTGATTTGAAGGTGACCGAAGTCATGCTTTTCCTGTGTGTGCTGCCAGCACAGGGCTGTACATGCAGATCCCGCCTGTGTGCATGTGTACATGTCAAGCTCCGAGAGGCTCCTGAACGTGACTGGTGTGCTGAGAATGTGGTTACGCTGTTTAATGCCTGCCAGGTGAGGCTTACGCTGAAGATGCACAATCCCTAAAATAAAGATCGCCACTTCCCCAAAGAAGCGGCCCTCGGGTCCGTGTGTTGTTCACACATGTGAAGAGAAGCAAGACAGAGGGTCCCAGATGGACGAGGGCTCTCCAAGGGAGTGCCGGGCGCTTCACCCAGTGGTCCCCAGAAGTGCTCCTTGGAGGCAACAAATCATTCCATGAAGCCCCAGAAGTAGATGGGACCTCAAGCGTCACGCCCTCCAGGGCAGCCATGCAGACACCCTTGATTCCCAACTGCATCTCTCCAGCCACTCCAACTGTGGAGGCTGTAAATCCAGATTCTCACTGTTCCAGTCTCCTTTGCAGCTTAGGATGACTATGTGATCAGCTATGGCCAATGAAATGGAAGAGGAAGTCTACAGGGTCTTCTGGGAAAGCTTATGCTTTTCCGATCAAAGACATAGGCATGGCTAACACCTCCCTGGCCCTCTTCTTACTGCCTTGATTGAGGGTGTGATGCCTGGAGCCACAGCAGCCACCTTGCTACCATGAGAAAAAAGGCCAAGAGAATCACAGAGCCATTGACCCTATCACTATTTCACCAAGCTAATGCCAGCAGCCATCCTTCTCCTCTTGTAAATAAAATAAATCCCTCTTTGTTTAAAGCACTGTTGGTCAGTCTCTGTTACTTGCAACCAAAATTATCCCTAACTGACACGGAAGGCCAGTCCCTGCCTGTCCAAAATTACCTGCAGGCTGGGCTAAAACTCCAGATTCGACTTTCCCATCAGAAGCCTATTGGATCGGGATCCCCAACTGCAGTGCCTGGGATCTGTTTTTCCCCACCTTCCCCAGAGAGCCTGCCTGGCATGAGTCTGAAAACTGGTACTCGAACATCACTAATGCACACATCATTCAACAAATATTTGTCGAGTGCCTGCGCTGTACCAGGAAGCATGCCACGGGCTGGGGCACAGTGGAGAACAAAGATGCAGTGCCTACCCCTCATCCTGATGACTGCAGTGCCCTCTCCCAACTGGTCTCCCCTCCTGGCCTTGTCCCTACAGCCTGTTCTCAACAGAGGAGCCAAAATCATCCTGTTCCGGACTAAGGCAGAACTTGACTCTGCACGGAGCCCGCCCTGGCTCCCAGTGGAGTCTCCTGTATTCCAGGTGAACCTGCGAGTCCAGCTCCCTCTTAGCCTCTGACCTCCTTCCTGCGCTCTCCCCCTCGCTCACACAGCCCCAATCAGCCAGGCCTCCTACCCTCTCCAGGCACGCCCCATCTGCATGCCTTCCCACCTGCTCTTCCACAGCCAGGAGTATCCTTCCCTCCGAGAACCGCCCAGCCCCCCCACTTTCTTCAGGCCTTTCATGACGCTCCTTCTAAGTGAGGTTCCTTTTAGCCACCCCATCTAAAATCTCAACTTCTACAGCCTTCCTCTGCCTGCCTTGCCTTCTTTTTCCTCCTTACCATCTATCACCATTGAACATATCCTGTATTTTACTAATTTGTCTCATGTGTCCCTCCTAATGATAATGTCAGCTCCATGAGGGCAGGGATTCTTGTCTCTGTCGTTTACTGCGGAATCCCTAGTGCACAGGGCCCAGAGAAGGTGCTCACAAAGTGTTTGTTGAATGAATGAATGAGAAGCCCCTTCTCCTTCTGCAATACACCTAGCCTCTTCCCAGGCCCAACCCATAACAATCAGAAAAGGCCCCACCTGCCTCCTTCCTCCACAGTCTCCACCCTGACCTACAGATGTTTATTTGGTCGGAAGCCCTCCTCTACCCTCTTGGCATTCATCAATACACCTGGGCCTGAGGACTCACATCAGAGCTGCGTGGCTCCTGCACACCACAGGGGTGTCTAGAGAGTCAGCTCTTCCTTGAAGGCTGATGATGAGGCCGTCACCCAAGCCTGGAGACCGTGGAGAAGCAAAAGGCTGCTGCAGTAGCTTCGACTTCAAACCTTTCCCTAAACTGGGAGCCGAGACAACAACCCTGTTCTTGCTGGCGCCATGCTCTCTCACACGCACCAGACCATGGGGCCTGGTTTGGGTTTGCAGAATGCCCCTGTCAATGGCAAACCAGCACTAAACACAAAACCCGGGATAGAGGGCTGATCTTAGGACATGAAGGGACCCTCCATCCCTGATCCTGTAGCCCATGTGTCACTGGAGTCCTCAGAGTGCAGGTGCTTTGGCAGGCAGCCTCACCACACCTGAGGCTACACTGACTCCAAACCCTTAGAGGGAGGGACTCTGTCTGATTCTACTCACCTTTTTCCAGGGCCCTGAAAATAGTTAGATGCCCCAAAAAGCTGTGAATGGATGTGAGTAATGATCACTGCATTTATAGAGGGCCAGCAATGTCAGTGCCCAGGACAACCAGGTGTCTTCCTCCCCGCTCTGCAGATGAAGACACCTGGGCTCAGGTAAGTGAAGGGCCTTGCTGGAAAACATAAGGCAATGCCCCGGGAGAGATTCGATTTGCACCCAGAGTGACCTGCCTGCAGAGTCTTTATTCTCTCCACTGCAGCCAGGCCTTGCTCCTGGAAAGTGCTCCTGGGAGACCCCTACACCAGCCTGACCACGCACCATGGGATCCAGGAACCTACTTTATCTTCCATTTTTCTGTCTGAACTTGAAATATTTAGCTTCTACCTATAAAACCAGACCTAGGTCAATGCAGACCTACCCGCGTTCTGGGATGAGGAATGTCCACTTGCGTCTATGACCACATCTCCAGGTGCCCCAGATGCCTCCACCCACACATTCAGCCAGTCTCTGGGGCCAAGAATAGGTCAGGATTGGCCAGACGTGATGGCTCACACCTGTAATCCCAGTATTTTGGGAGGCCAAGGTGGGCGGATCATTGAGGCCAGGAGTTCAAGACCAGCCCAGCCAACATGGAGAAACCCCGTCTTTACTAAAAATACAAAAATTAGTTGGGCATGGTGGCACATGCCTATAGTCCCAGCTACTTGGTGGCTGAGACAGGACAATTACTTGACCCTGGGAGGTAGAGTTTGCAGAAATCACACCACTGCACTCCAGCCTGTGACAGAGTGAGACTCCTTCTCAAAAAGAAACAAGAGCTCAGGCTCTACCACTGTGGTGGGATTCCTTGCATTCCTTGCAGGCCTGGACCTATCGCTGAGAAATAACTTAACAACGCGATTGTTCAGTGCCCCAAAGATCCACCAACCAGCAACCGCCTCACCCCTGCTGGTTTCTGGCCTGACAGTGCCCCCTCGGGCTGGACTTCACAAGAACGGAACGAATTGCCTTAATCTTCTCCTGCCTGTATGTCCTGATCAGCTCAGGCTGCCCTAACAGAATCCCGTACACTAGGTGACTTAAACAACAGAAACCTATCTTCTTTTTTTTTTTAAAGTGAAATCTCGCTCTATTGCCCAGGCTGGAGTGCAGTAGCAAGATCTCAGCTCACTACAACCTCCGCTTCCCAGGTTCAAGTGATTCTCCTGCCTCAGCCTCCCAAGTAGCTAGGATTACAGGCGCCCGCCACCTCATTTTTGTATTTTGAGTAGAGACAGGGCTTCTCCATGTTGCCCAGGCTGGTGTCAAACTCCTGACCTCAGGTGATCCACCCGCTTGGGCCTCCCCAGGTGCTAGGATTACAGGCGTGAGCCACCGAGCCCAGCTAGAAATGTCTTTTCTCACAGTTCTGGAGGTTTAGAAGTCTAAGATCAAGGTGCCCTCCTGGTTGGCTTCTGGTGACGGCTGCCTTTCTGGCTTGCAGATGCTCACCTTCTCACTGCGTCCTCACACTGGGGGAGAGGCAGAAGAGACAGCAAGCTCTCTGGTGTCTTTTTTATAAGGACACTAATCCCATCATAAAGACCCCATCCTCATGACCTCATCTGACCCTGATTACCTCCAGAGGCCCCATCTCCAAATACCATGCCATTGGGGATAAGGGTTCAACATATGAATCAGGGAAAACAAATCTTCAGTCCACAGCAAAGGGACTTTTTGAGTTGATTTTTTGGCTGGCACTCATCCAGAGAGGAGGCCATGGGGCTGGGCTTATTTTCCGAAGCTAACCCTTTCATTAAGTGTACTCATCTACTTCCTAGAAAGGACCTTATAGAGAGATGGGCAGGACTGCCCAGTGAGGAACCCCCGTAGTGTTCTCAGGTTGCCTGGCAACAGCTCCCTCCTCCAAGGAAGGGCTTCCATGGGATCAGAGCACCTAAGCTCAACCTTATTGTCCAACCTAAAATGCTCACTCCCCCTGCAAAGCCAGCCTCAGGCATGCCCCATAGAGGGAGAGAGCTGTGGGGGTGCAGGCCTGGCAAATCCAGGGATGCTGAAAGGAGCCCCCCCCACACAAACACCTGCCAGCCCTCTGCCCCCAAGTGAGTTGCTTGTGTTAGTCTCAATCATTAAACCACAGCCTGTGGCTACTGTAAATTATGAGTGTTGGTTCAGGGTTCTTGATTTTTTTTTTTTTTTTTTTTTAAACAAGTTCTCACTTTGTTGCCCAGGCTGGAGAGCACTGGAATGATCATGGTTTACTGTAACCTCCAACTCCTGGGCTCAAGCAATACTCTGCCTCAGCCTCCCAAGTAGCTGGAACTACATACAGGTGCACACCACCACCCCCAGCTAATTTTTTTTCTTTTTTTGTAGAGACAGGAGACGTGTGATGTTGCCCAGGCTGGTCTCCAACTCCTGGGCTCAAGCAATCCTCCCACCTCAGCCTCCCAAAGTGCTAGGATTACAGGCGTGAGCCACTGTGCCAGCCCAGTGTTCCTGACTGAAGGGTGACCACAGAGTGAAAGATGGGTTTTGTAATGGGGAGATGGGAAAGAGAAAATTATGCCAGAACTCCAATTTTTTTTTTTTTTTTTTTTGAAACAATCTCACTCTGTCGCCCAGTCTGTAATACAGCTGCAACCTCCACCTCCCAAGTTCAAGCAATTCTCGTGCCTCAGCCTGCCAAGTAGCTGGGATTACAGGCATGTGCCACTATGCCCAGCTAATTTTCATATTTTTAGTACAGACAGGGTTTCACCTTTTGGCCAGGCTGGTTTTGAACTCCTGACCTCAAGTGATCCGCCCACCTCAGCCTCCCAAAGTGCTGGGATCACAGGCGAAAGCCGCCTCGCCTGGCCAAGAATCCCAATTTGAAGATAGTTAGCATGATTGAGTATAACAAAGAAGCCCTGAGCTTCCCAGAAGGCAAGGCAGGAAAGGAAATCCAATCTTTATCTAGAAACATAGACAGAGCCATAGAAAGCAGAACAATTCAGTGATTTTCAAATTTTGCTTCACGGGGGAAGTGGGGGGTGACACCAAGCCATTTATAATCTCCTTGCCCTCATCACCACTTTTCTCAACTTTAATTAGAGCAGCTCGACGTTTATCTGTTTTTAGATAAACGTATTTCCATTTAAACACAGATCCCATGTATTTCCATTTAAACACAGATCCCATGGCCAAAAAGTACAAAACCCAGAAAAATTCCAAAACCTGGCTTCAAATCCTATCTCCACCACCCACTAGCTATAATTTTAGGGAAAACCGTGCTTCGGTTTCCTAAACTGTAAAATAGGTGTCAAAGCACTTACTCTACAGGGCTACAGGGCTTTCCAAATTAAATGAGACTTTGCTTGTAAAGCAATGAGCACTCGGCCT